AAACATTTAAAAAAAAAAAAAAAGTCTCTATGCCACAACACATAACCACAACCATATTTACTAAAGTAGCTGATGTTGTAGTTAAGTGCCATTGAGTCAGTTCTGACTCATAGTAACCCTGTATAGGGTTTTCGAGGAGCAACTGGTGAGTTTGAACCTCCGACCATGTGCATTATCCTGCCGTGCATATCAGAACTCCTTAGGTAGCACAAATGTTAAAACGCTTGACTATTAGTTAAGCAGTTGGTGCTTTGAACCCTCCCACAGGTCCCTCAAAGAGCCCTGATGGTACAACGATTGAGTGCTTTGTTGAACGTGCCAGTGGCTCAGAGGAAGATGTGACATCTGCTTCCATAGAGTATCATCTCGGAAACCCTCCGGGGCCCTTTGGTTCCATAGCGTCCCTACCAGCTGGAATTGACTTGAAAGCGGCTACAGACATGACAATATGATTATTAAAATCCTTACTACTATTCTCTTATCCTGATGAATCCCATTTTTGTTTAAGTGGTATGGTGGTAGTGGTAAGTCAGTTTCTGACTCATAATAACCCTGTATAGGGCTTCTGCTCCCGTAAATATTTATGGGAGCAGATAGCCTCATCTTCATCCCTCAGAGTACTTGGTAGACTCTAACTACTAACATTGGGGTTAGCAGCCCAACATGTAACCCACTACGCTACCAGGGATCCTCATAAGTGGGATAAAACATCACATAAAAAAAGGATCTTCTGAAATTGCAAAGTACAGCTAAGTTAATGAGCTATACTGTCTTCAGAAGGGCAGAGGAAATATAAAATAATAAACAGAGGAAGGAGGGAAAAAAGTAAGAGAATGGACTCTGATAAAGGTTCAAAGTCATTTTGGGGACTGGGAAAAAAAGATAAAACTTCAGATGGCCGTCCCTCTTCAGAACATAGACACTACTATGCAGCAGGAGGCATAGGACTTGCTTCAGCTCTTCTTCCCAAGCAGTCCCTCTATGCCCACTCAAGACACAGAGCAAGGGGCGTATACCGTACTTTTCACACGTCCTTTACAACCATCCTAACAATTTTATCACTGCACCCTCAGGACACAGCATAATGCCACCTATTGTACACGTATGTTGTTGCTATTCGATGCTGTGGTGTCAGTTTCAATTCATAGCAACCCCATATAACAGAGTATAAACTGCCCCATAGTGTTTTCTAGGCTGTAATCTTCATGGGAAAGCAGCTCTGGTGGCATAGTGGGTTAAGCACTGGGCTACTAACAGAAAGACCAGTGGTTCAAACCCACCAGCCTCTCAGAGGGAGAACTATGAAGCAGTCTGCTCCCATACAATTTCTGTCTAGGAAAGCATCTGGGGCCGTTCTCCTCTATCCTATAGAGTTGGGATCAGCTCTAAGGTAATGAGGGTTTAGGTAATGTTTGCCAGACCAGATCACCAGATCTTTCTGCTATGGAGCTACTGGGTGGGTTCAAACTGCCAACCAGAAATGCTTACCAAATTAAGAAATGGCTAATCAAGTGTGCAGGATCCTGGTGTGGGGCTGTAGGATAAGCACTGGGCTGCTAACCACAAGGTCAATCTACCCGATCTTACAAGTTGCTAAGAGTTGGGACCCACTGGACAGCACTTAACAACTCCTTGCTTCATCTCCCCACCTCATTGGGTTGTTAGGAAGCTGAGCGTAGGGGCTGTAAGACGTTAGGCAGGTTCCGGTCGAACCGTTCCTGAATATGAATGGTGACACGGACAGAGTCCTGGCCTCGAATCACAAGCCCCTGGACAGTCGGCCAGACTCTACAAACAGCCGGCTGTACAGTCAATCCCGACACGGTCACTGGTTTCCCATCTCAAGACTCCTGGCAGTCCCGACCCTAAGCTCCAACAGCCTGTAAATCCGTTACAGGATCGGGAACTCAAATGTCCTAGGAAAGGTGAAGCCCGCGACTGCCAGATGCGCCCGCGGGGCAGGGAGCTTCAAGGTCGTGGGATCCCAAGCAAGGGTCGCTCACCCAGTCAAAGTCACACGGGTTGCCGTCTTCGCGCTGCGTGGGGAGACCTTGGCAGACTGGCGGCAGTTTCCTCAGGAGTAAAAAAGAGGCCGAGAGCAGAGCTGACAGGAAATAATAAGGTCGGGCCAACCATCGTGAAAGTCGAGGGACCGAATACACCAGCGCAATTAAAGGTGCCAAGACTGCCATCTTTTCAGCCCTGGCGGCGCCCACCGCTTAGCGGCGGCTGTCACTGTGACACCGCCCCTCAGCTACTGAAGTTCCCATTGGACCAAATCTCGAATGCACCGCCTATTAACCCGGAAACAGACCTTGATTGGACACGATGATAGCCGGGGCAATGAAAAAAAAGTGGATTTGATACTTTATTGGTCAATCTGGCTGCCGTTCTTCCAACTTATCCTGTTATTGGGTCTACAACTATGGAGAGTCGTCTTTAAGATTATACAGCACTTCCTGAGCGTTCTTATAAAGCGACGGAAGTAGTTATCGAAGAAGGTGGGCGGAGTCTGTGACATCCAATGATAAACGGCTCCTGGATGTGGAGGGCAGTGCCCCAAGAAAGAATTGTCCAATGAAAATCATCAACAGCAGATACTGCGGCACCGACGGCGCGGAGCGGACGATGGAGAATTTCACAGCACTCTTCGGGGCTCAGGCTGACCCGCCACCGCCTCCAGCCACACTCGGTTTCGGCCCAGGAAAGCCCCCGCCCCCGCCTCCGCCTCCTCCGGGAGGAGGACCCGGGGCTGTCCCGCCGCCCTCTGCGGCCACAGCCCCTCCTGGCGCCGACAAGTCAGCGGCTGGTTGTGGCCCCTTCTATCTGATGCGGGAACTGCCTGGTGAGTATTAGGCCTGGCGGAAAAAGCAGCCAGTCAGATCGTAACGAGGGGATGGTGGAGTACGGGTAATTTAGGCAACGCGTACAGGGCTCCGTTGCTCCAAGTTGTATCTGCCACCCGAGGATGGTACAAATTCGCGGGACAGTGCCTCGCCAGGACCACCTTCCACGCTGTATCCGAGTTCTGTGCCTGACATTGTTTATGGCTTCCTAAAAGTGGATCTTGACTGAAAGCAGAAAATACTGGAAAGATATTTACTTGTGCTGTATGTAAAGGCGTTCGACTGTGTGGATCATAACAAACTATAGACAAAATTGTGAAGAATGGGAATTCCAAATCACTTAATTGTATTCATGCAGAAGCGGGCCACAGACCAAGGGAAAGTCATTCTAACAGAACAAGGGAATACTTTGTGGTTTAAAATCAGGAAAGGTGTGCGCCAGGGTTGTGTTTTTTCACCATACTTATTCATTCTATATGCTGAGCATATAATCCAAGAAAGTGGATTATATGAAGAAGAAGGTGCCATCAGGATTAGAGGAAGACTCATTTGCCACCTGTGGTTTGCAGATGACACAATCTTGCTTGCTGAAAGCAAACAGGACTTGAAGCACTTGTTGATAAAGATTTAACCTTATGCATGGATTACAACTCAGTGTAAAGAGGGGGAAATCTTCACAACTGGACCAAAAAGCAGCATGATAAAGAAAAGACTGAAGTTGTCAATGATTTTATTTCATTTGGCTCCACAGACAATGCTCATGGAAGCAACAGTCAAGAATTCAAACCACATATTGAATTGGGCACATTTGTTGCAAAAGGCCTCTTTAAAGTGTGCAAGAGCAAAGCTGTTTGAGGACTAAGGTGCACCTGCCCCAAAACATGGCATTTCCAGTCACCTGATAGATTTATGAAACCTGCACAGTACATAAGGAAAACTGGAGAAGAATTGATGCGTTTGAATTATGGTGTTGGCGGCAAAATTTTACTTTCAATAAAGTACCATGAACTGCCAGACAAGCAAATCTGTCTTGAAAGATGTACAGCTAAAGTGTTCCTTAGAAGCCAAGATGGCCAGATTTCCTCTCATGCACTGTGGACATGCTAAGAGGAGAGACCAGTCCCTGGAAAAGACATCATGCATGGTAGAGTGGAGGGTCAGTGAAAAAGAGGAGTACTCCGCATGCCCCCCAACAAGATGCATCAACACAGTGACTGCAACAATGCCCTCAAACGTACCAGTTGTGAGGATGGCACAGAGCTGGGCCGTGTTGTGCACAGGGTCGCAATGAGTCAGAGACAACTCAACGGCACCTAATAACAAAAGACGTGGCCCAGGGTTAGGCTTTGCTGTTTCACTTTGAAGGTCGCAGCATATTTACATATGTTTTTGTTAAGGGCACTATAGCATGTAACATTTAGAATGGTTCCTGGTGGCGGTGGTTGTGTACTGTTCAGTCAGCTCTAACTCGTAGCAACCCTGGATAAGGATTTCTAAGGCTGTAAGTCATTACGGGAGCAGATAGCCTCATCTTTCTCCTATGGAACAGCTGGTGGAATCAAAGTGCTGAGATTTCAGTTTGTAGTCCTAGTTATAATAACCCAGTGTGCTACCAGAGCTCCTTAGTTCATGATGGGTGTTGTTTAGTGCTGTCAAATCAGCCCTGATTCATAGTGATGCTGTATTGGGTTTCCAAGGTTTGAACCCCTGGCCTTGCATTTAGCAGCCCAGCACATTATCTGTGGACAAACTGAAGCTTAGAGAAGGGAAGTAGTCGATGGCTGCCAGGAGTGTCTGTACCCGTTCTTTTGCCTTACTCACTCTGCCCCTTTTTATATCAGTTGATGTCTACTCTGGGCTGTAGGGGTGAGGGGAGCACAGACTGACTGTGTAGTGGAGGGAGGGAGATTAATAACTGGCACTTGGTTTTAGGAGGTTAGATATTTTAGTTGGGGATGCAAAAGATGTGGTTCAAGGATAAGTTAATGTGACTGCATTTCTTGTCAAGGCTATTTCATATCTCACAGCAAATAACAACTTAGTGAACTAAATTAAAAACTACATGGTGGTTTTCAAAATGTGTTCTAGTCATCCAAAATGATAGCATGAATAAGATGTGCCTTAGCCAGACCTTGAAGAATTCAAATTTGTTTAAACTTTTGTAAAGATTTTTTCTAAAAGCAAAGAACATGAAGAGTGTTTCTTTCCAAGACGTGATGGAGACCCATTTAGTTGTATCAAAACTCTGCAAAAGGGAATAGTGATTGATAAGACCCTGTAGATCAGTTGGAATAAGCTATATTTAGTGCTGAGTTCCAGTCAAAGGAATTGAAGCCTAGCCTGAAGATAACAGGAGGCCTGGTGGTAATGAGGGTTAGATGTTGCGCTGCTAACTATAAGATTGACAGTTCAAATCCACCAGCTGCACCATAGGAGAAAGGTGAGGTTATCTGCTCCCATAAAAATGGATAGTCTCCAAAACCTTCTGTGGGGTCACTATAAATAGGAATGGGATTCAGTGCCGGTGGGCTCAAGTTTGCGGAAGATCACAGGAATGGAGACTTCCGATTTCTGTAGATCTCTGGGGACTGTGTGTGCCATAGATTGAAACCGAGAAGCCATGAGTGAGATGAGGAAGATTTGGAATTTCAAAAATAAGAATTGAGTCCACATGCAGTTGACTCATAGGAAATTGGAAATGCATTTTCAGGAGAGCAGTCAGGGCTGGTGAAAGATTTATAAATCCATTTTTGTGGAATCAAACATCTAAACAGGAAATTGGGTGAACTCACAGGTTTAAGAAAGTTTTTTCTCTTTTTAAAAAAAGGCACAAAGTATCTTTTTGCTTCAGTACTGAGCATAGCTGCATGGGAAGAGGAGAACTGGCAGAGAGGACAAATGAGGCTACTGTAATGGTAGGAGCCAGCACCCAGAGAGCCCTGAGGAAAGGGTCTGTGGAACGGCCCGGGGACTCCTGCCTTTACCTAGGTCCCTCCTCTGAGAAGGTTCACTGTAAGGAAAGGAAAGAACAAGGTAAGGCTTAAAATTAAAACAACAGAGACAGAAAATACCTTGTTCACCTAATAATTCTCTATCAAGAACCCAGTTTACAAGTGGCTGCTCACGTAATGGTTGGCGGTTCAAAGCCACCAAGTAGCTCTGTGAAGAATGTGGCGTCATGGTCTGCTTGTGTAAAGATTACAGCCTAGAAAACCACACGGAGACTCCTCCAGCAAGGGCCTCCACGAACGAGCTCTGGATTAAATGCCCTGGAAAGCGGTAACTCCCAGGCAATTAGGAATTCCATCTAGACCAGGAAGTCCGCTGTCTCATCCCTTGCAGGAGAGTGTTCTAATCTCCCGGTCCAGCAGCTGCGCAGTTTTTCTGGTTTTCAGTTTGGTTTTTTCCTTTATGCTGTTTTCACTGTTTTGTTTATTCTTTCTCTTCTTCCTTCACTTTCCTGTTCCTTTGAATTTTATCCTTTCGAGCTCCACTTTTGGAGTCCTGGTGTGGCGCTGTGGGTTAACACGCCAGACTGCAAAGCCGTTTGGACTGCAAGGTTGGCGGTTCAAGCTCACCAGCTGCACTTCAGAAACCCTATCCAGGGTCACTACGGGTCAGAATCTACTTGATGGCACTTCACAACAACAGCAACCGCCACTTTTGGTTTTCTTCTTTTCTTTTTCACGTTTCCCCTCTTCTTATTTTCCCTTTTGATCTTTCCTTATTACTTACTCTTTCTCCTTTCATCTCTCCTCTCCCTGGTGTTTCTATGGGCTATTTTATTTCTTTTATTCTCTCTTATGTAGCTCCATTTTCTTTTCCCTTTATTTTCTTTTTAGTTATATTCTTTTTTTTCCTGATCCCTGCCTGTCTTTAATTCTTTATTCTCTTTTCATTGGTGTTTGCTTGTTTATTCTGTTTTGCTTCCTGGTGTGTGTGAGGCAGAGAGTGGGGTTGGGGGGAGTTTCTCCTTTTTCCCAAGCACGGCAGACAGGTCCATACAGCCCAGCCACACTCATACCCTCTGCAGCTTCACCCAGCGTGCAAGAGCTGTCCCACCTGATCAATGATAGACAGCAGCCTTCCCAGCCAAACCCACCTTCACTGAGGGGCACAAACAGCAAACAGACAAGAATGCAAATGCTTCCATTCTCTAACTACACCCACAGGAGACAGTTGATGAGAGTCTAAGAACACACCAACATACAGTCATCCATTAAATGCAAATATGAAAACACCACAGTGTCCCAGAAACAACAATTTTAGCTCACACAAAGAAAAAAGAATGGCACAAGTAACCGAGATAACTGATCAAAAAACCGTTTCTGAGGAAGAAAGGGTAATGGAACTAACGGATAAAGAATTCAAAAGGGTGATATTTAGGTATTTAGAAAAGACAGAAAGAAGGCAAGGAAAACAAAGAAAAAACTTTAAGAACAATTCAGGAAAACGTAACAAGGACAAACAGAATAAACGGCAAATTTTGAAACAATACAAAACCTGCAATTAGAAATCCAGAAGATTATTAAGATGTTAGTAAGTGTGCAGGTGAAGTGAGGCATGCCTATAGATGAAGTTATCGATTATGTTTCCACCCTTGTCATGCTTCCTTACTTAGCACCTGTTGTTGTTAAGTGCTATTGAGTCATTTCTGACTCATAGCAACCCTGTATAGGGTTTTGAGGAGCAATTGGTGGGTTTGAACCAGCGACCTTCTGGTTAGCATTCCAGTGCTTCTCTTACAGCACCACACCAGGACCCTATTCAGCTACTAGCAAGTTTATAGTCTTTGAAAAAGGTCAGCTGTGCAGTATTTATACTGACAATATCTTACATTTATGTACTTCATACTTTTCAGTGTTTTCATTTGAACCTTGGGGAAAAAAGAGGAGTATCAAAGTTACCTATTATTACCCATTCCTCAGATAAGAGGAAATAGAGGACAGTAAAAATAGAAGTCTAGTTACCCACCTTCTCATTAAGGAGCTCTGGTAGCTTAATGGTTACAAGTCAGGCTGCCAACCTCAAAGTCAGCAGTTCAAAACTAAAGATGAGGCGTTCTGTTCTGTTCCTGTAAAGATGTACAGCCTTGGAAACCCTGTGCAGGGTCACTGTGAGTTGGAACCGACTCTACACTACTAACTACAACAACAACAACCTTCTCAATAAAACAGTTCTTCCTTCCAGGCAAAGTATTATACTGGGTATTATTGGGGAAAACGTTGATAACTAGAATTAGAATAGTGTTTAGCATAGAGTAAGCACCACTTAGTGTTAAGACCAAGAAAAATGGAGCCTGCCCTTCAGGTTACAACAATTTCCCACTCTACCCTATTAGGATTTTGCCTAATTTTTCACCATTCCATCCCAACCTACCATTCTGTAGTATTACAGGTAGTCCCAGGATTACAAACTAATTCCATTATTAAGACTGCCTTTAAGTCAAATTTTACGTAAGTTCAAACAGTTTGTCGGTTTGTCAGTCAGTCAAATATGTTAGTATGTAGTCTGTAGTGCACTTTCCTTTGCATAAAAACCATACTTTCAGATACACAAAATACATAAAAAGACTGTTTTGATGCACATCACAAAAGTCAGGCCTATTTGTCATTATAAACTATTGTATTTACCTCAAATTTTTAACTTAAAAGACTTTATGGGGCTGTTTCTTAACTACAAGGAATGTTTATAACCTGGGGGTTGCCCCTATTCTATTTTTAGTGTTTATTATACATGTTAATATTTAGTTTTGCTCTGGCTTTTTACTTTAAAAGTGTATGTAAATTTTTCTAGTTGTCACTTATAAGAGTCCTTATTTAGGTTATTTGAACTTCATCCCATGCCATGGTATTTTTGGTGCTATAGGTTAAGCATACTGGACTGCTAAACACAAGGTTGATGATTCAAAGCCACCAGCTGTGCCACAGATAATATACAGGGCTGCTATGAGCCAGAACCAACTCAACATCACTTAGCATCAACAGCATATGTATGTGAGAAAGTTGGACAATGAGTAAGGAAGACTTTAGAAGAACTGATGCATTTGAATGTCTTGGTGAAGAATATTGAAGGTACCATGGACTGCCAGAACAACAAACAAATCTGCGTTGGAAGAATGCAGCCAGAGTATTTCTTAGAAGCCAGGATGGCGAGACTTCATCTCTGATACTTTGAATGTGTCATCAAGAGGGACTCATCTCTGGAGAAGGCCATTATGCTGGGTAGAGGGTAAGTGAAAATGAGAAAGACCCCTGATGAGATGGATTTACAGTGTCAGCAGCAGTGGACTCAAACGGAGCAGCGATTGGGAGCATGGTGCAGGAGCGGGCAGGGTTGGGTTCCGTTGTGCTTGAGGTTGTTGTGAGCAGGGACTGACTCAGCGGCCCTTCTTCCTCCTCCTCCTCCCTATGTCTTTTAGGCAACACTGAGCTAACAGGCAGCACCAATTTGATTACACACTACAACCTGGAACATGCCTACAATAAATTCTGTGGGAAGAAGGTGAAAGAGAAGCTAAGTAATTTCCTTCCTGACCTGCCAGGAATGATCGATTTGCCTGGATCCCATGACAACAGCAGCCTCCGCTCCCTCATTGAAAAGCCTCCCATTCTTGGTGGATCCTTTAACCCTATCACAGGGACCATGCTGGCTGGCTTCCGCCTCCACACTGGCCCGGTGAGTCCCTTCTTGAGGAGAAAGGCAAATGGGGAGGCCTAAAGGGCATAGCAGTGGTTTTTCCAAGTCCAAGTCTGTTCCTTCATAACTTACTGAGCAGAACAGATGATGGGAACATTGGATTTCCTCCCTCTACTCACTCGGGCCTTCCTTTGGTTCCTTCAGTTGCCAGAGCAGTGTCGTCTGATGCATATTCAGCCTCCCAAGAAGAAGAATAAGCACAAACACAAACAGAGCCGGACCCAGGATCCTGTCCCCCCAGGTAAGAAGTGGTGATGTATTAAAAGCCAGCCAACCTGACCTCCCCTATCTAGTTCTGCCTGCCACAGCCAACCACATTTAAGTTCTTGGGTTTCTACATTCTCTTGGAGATGACTCCAATGTACTGGGCTCTCTAAGCAAGCAGGGACTTAGGACAGGGGCTTTAGTAGCACCTCTGTATCCTTTATGGCCACTTGGAGAAAAGCACTTGTCCCTGACTTGGGACTTTCATGGAATCTAGAGAATTCACAGCAGAAGGGAGTGTTAAGTTTCTCCACATGATAGCACCTAATGTCTCTTACAGAAACACCATCTGATTCAGATCACAAAAAGAAGAAAAAGAAAAAAGAGGAGGATCCTGAACGGAAAAGAAAGAAGAAAGAAAAGAAGAAAAAGAAGGTAGGGTACGGGCTCAGTGTGGCACATCAATGAGGCCCCCCATTTTTCCCCCGTCTGAAGTAGACCTCACGGCCTTTACCTCAGATTGGACCCGAGATTGAAAAGCCTGTGTAGGGTGTTTTCTTCTGGTCAAGACCCCTAGGTCCTACGTGTGCTCTTAACCCTCCCTCTTTCCTGTCTTCCCCAGAATCGACACAGTCCAGACCACCCAAGTATGGGCAGTTCCCAGGCCAGTAGCAGCAGTAGCCTCCGCTAACAGGACCACTGGACACTCTGCGAGGACGGCGTTTCCTGTTGTACTGAAGCTGCCGGCCTCTCAGACACCACCTTAGAATGCCCCAAGGGCCAAGGCCACTCCTCTGCTCACCCGAGGATCATGCATTAGAACAGGGCCATGCTTTGGTCATGCTCAGCCCTGTTTGCGTGTGTGTGGACCTCTCTCTCAATCCTAGGAAGCTTTCATTCCATCTATTTTGTAGTTGTCTGATTTAGGGATTGATCTGGTTTGTTAAAGGTTTTTTTCCTTTTTTTTTTAATACCCAAAGTAACTGAAGTGTGGTTCTGTAGTATGAGTACCTTTGAGTAAAACTGAGCGTCTCAGCCAGGCACTGCTATATTTGAAGGAATTTGGTTCCTGACATTAATTTACTGGAAGGGAAACCACCAAAATGATTGGGAACATGGTCCAAAAGTAATTCCTCACAGATGAGGAGAGGCTTGCACCTAATCCCTATGCACAGCAGAAAAGGAACACATTCTGCTCATAATCCTAATGTGGGAGGTAAAGAGGACAGCTTCATACAAGGACCAAGGCATACTGTGTTCAGTCAGTATTGTGTGGAAACACAAATTGCCTACAATCTCTAATGTACTTCAAACAGGGTTGCTTCGTAGGCCTGAAGCTTGTCATCAGTTGATGTGCTTCTCTGGCAGGCCAAGGTAAATGCATTCTTTCAAAGACCTTTTGACCTGCCTCCTCCCTTAGTGTTGTGAAGTGCCTTCAAGTCAGGTCTGACTCATGAGAGACCCTGTATAGGGTTTCCAAGACGTTAGAAATCTTTGTAGGAGCAGAAAGCCTCATCTTTCTCCCTGGGAATGACTGATGGGCTCAAACCACAAATGTTGTGATCCATAGTCCATTGCTTATTGTGTGTAGCCACCACACTACCCCCTCTCTTAGGGATGACCAGGAAATTACTTGACTGATGTGAAACATTTCTAAACTTCAATGACAATAACAGGCAGCCTAACTAAACAAATTGTGAAATAATCCTGGTTTACAGCAGTCAAGGTAACTGAAAGAGCCTCGGTGTGGCACTGTAGGATAAGTACTGGACCTGCCAACTACAAGATGGGCAGTGCAAACCCACCAGCCTTTCTTGGAAACCCTATACAGGGCTGCTGTGAGTTGGAACCAACTCAACGGCACACAATTTAACCAAAAATACCCACAAGAAAACGGATGTCTTTCATTGGATTTTTATGTTTGAAGATACCTGCTTAAAATCAGGGCAGAGCCTTTTACTTTCAGGGCAGAGCCTTTTACTTTCTACAAATAGATGACATAATATGAGGACTAATTAATACCCCCATGTCCAGTCCACCTGCTTTTCCAGTCTTTCATATTTTGATCACCTACTGTCTGTCTCACCTGTGGTTGTGTGAAAAGTGATCTTCACTTTGCAGAGATAAAAGTCTCTTGTTAAGAAACTAAGTGAAGTATGAGACTAGAAAACTCGGAAGTTGTCAAAAATTAAATGGAACGCATAAACATCAATATCCTAGGTATTAGTGAGCTGAAATGGACAGATACTGGCCATCTGGAATCTGACAGTCGCATGGTTTGCTATGCAGGAAATGACAAATTGGAGAGAAATGGCATTGCATTTACCAGCAAAAACATTGCAAGATCTATCCTGAAGTACAATGCTGTAATAGAAAAATATCCATACACCTACGAGGAAGACCAGTTAATGCAATTATTACTCAAATTTACGCACCAACCACCAAAGCCAGTGATGAAATTGAAGACTTCTACCAACTTCTTCAGTCTGAAATTGATCAAACATGCAATCAAGATTTATCGCTAGTTACTGGTCATTGGAATGCAAAGGTTGGAAACAGAGGAAGGATCAGTTGTTGGAAAATGCTGATCAGAAATGATGCTGGAGACCACATGATAGAATTTTACAAGACCAATTACTATACTACAAATTATCTTTTTAAAACAACATAAAAGATGACTGCATACATGGAAGTTAACAGATGAAATGCCAGGGGCAGAATTTGGAACAGATCATCAATTGCTCATATGCAAGTTCAGGCTGAAGTTGAAGAAAAACAAGTCCACAAGAGCCAAAATGTGACCTTGAACATACCCCACATGAATTTAGAGATCTTAAGAACAGGTTTGAAGCATTAGACATTAATGACAAAATTCAGAAGAGTTGTGGGATGACATCAAGAACATCAAAAAGGAAGAAAGCAAAAGGTCATTGAGAAGACATAGAAAAGACCAAAATGGATATCAGAAGAGACTGAGAGTTGCTCTTCAGCATAGAGATTCTAAAACAGAAGACATGAGGTAAAAGAGTTGAACAGAAAACTTCAAAGGGCATCTCAAGAAGAGAGTCAAATACTGTAATGAAACGTACAAAGACCTGGAGTTAGAAAACCAAAAGGGAAGAACGGGCTCAGCGTTTCTCAATCTGAGGGAACTAAAGGAAAAACTCACATCTCAACTTGAAATACTGAAGGATTCTACGGGCAAAATATTGAATGATGCAGAAAGCATGAAGGTAGAAGGAATTATTGTCACTGTGCCAAAAAAATGAGGTCGATGTTCAATCATTTCGCATATGATCAAGAACAATGATGCTGAAAGAACCTTAAGACTCTGGGAACTCCTAAGTACAAACTGAAATCTTTCAACAAACTGATGCAGCAGCACTGGAGGCACTCATCTGTGCCAAGAAATTTGGAAGACAGCTACCTGGCAATTGATTTGAAGAGAAACATACTTGTGCCCATTCCAAAGAGAGGTGACCCAATGGAATGTAGAAATCAATAGACACTACCCATTAATATTGCATGCAAGTAAAATTTTGCTATAGGTAATTCAAAAATGGCTGCAACATTACAATGACAAGGAGCAATCAGGTTCAACCCAGATTCAGACAAGGACATGAACAAGGAGTATCAATATCAATGCTGATAACTAATGGATCTTGGCTAAAGCAGAGAATATCAGAAAGATTTCTAGCTGTGCTTTATTGACTACACAAAGGTTTTTGATTGTATGGATCATGACAAGCTATGAACAACATGGCAGAGAATGAGAATTCTGGGACAATTGTGCTCATGAGGAACCTGTACATAACTCGAACAATTATTTGCTGAGAAATTGGATTGATTATATGAAGAACCTGGCATCAAGATTGGAGGAAGATTCATTAACATCCTATGACACATAGATGATACAACCTACCTTGCTTAAACTGAAGAGGACTTAAAATACTGATGAAGATCAAAGACCACAGTCTTCAGTATGGGCTGCACCTCAGTGTAAATACAAAAATCCTCACTACTGGATCAATAAAAAGATCATAGTAAGAGGAGAAAAGACAGAAGTTGTCAAGACTTCATTTTGCTTGGATCAACCATCCACTCATAGCAGCAGTCAAGATATTAAATGACCTCTTTAAAGTGTTCAAGAGCAAAGATGACAGTTTGAAGACTAAGGTGAGCCTGACCCAAGCCATTTCAGTAGCCTCATGTGTGTGACAGTTGAGCAGTAAGAAAGACTAATATAGAAGAATCAATGCATTTTAGTTGTAGTGTTGGAGGATATATTAAAGGTGTTATGGACGGCCAAAAGAACAAACCAACCTGGTGGAAGTACAGAACGCTTTTTGGATGTGTTACCAGGAGGGACCAGTCCCTGGAGGACATCATGCTTGGTAAATTGGACGGTCAGTGGGATTGGCACAGTGGCAATAGCAATGGACTCAAGTGTAGCAACAATTGTGAGCTTGGCCCAGGACCAGCAGTGTTTTGTGCTATTTGCACAGGGTCACTATGAGTTGGTACCAACATGAAGGCACTTAACAATATTAACAAGAAACTGGCACAAAAGTTCCCAAAGCTTTGAAATGACAAGCAGCTTTGGGTCTGCTCTTTTATGGGGTTCAGTTCACAACAGTCCTGCCTGGACAGAGAAGCCTATGAGGTTTATTTGTTGGCTGCCAGACAAAATAACACAAGTCAGGGGGAGCTGGTTAGATCAGGATTTCCTTTTATTCCTTGTTGGTTTAAAATGGCTAATTAGAATAAAAAATAAAAGGGCCTCTGTCTAGAGGCTGGGGTCTCCCCTATTTAGAGGTTAGGACCCAGGTATCCCCTCTATCCAGCACCATACAAGGTGGGCTGAGGGGTCACCCCCAAGAGACAATCGGAGGGACCTAGGTCTGTAGCTCCTCTCTAGCCCCAGTTTTTGGCATGTGATGAAAAATATTGCTTTTTGGATTCTTCTCTCCCAGCCTTGGATTTAAAAATGTTAACTGTGTGAGTTAGGGAGAAGTCTTTAAGGGGCTGGCTTAACAAGCCCACCCTAAGCCATCTCCCCCAAGAAGGGGTAATGATTCGGTAGTATTTCTTGAGCAACACCACACTCTTACTGAGCTTCCCCCACTACCACAGTGTCCTGGAGCTGTGACCCTTTCCTGGAGAAACAAGTGCCGATGAGCCTAGAGGAGGACCTCTTCCCCCGAATTCCTACCCTCCTTAAACCAACCTCCCAGGTCCGGGCTTTCCTTCCTGATCACTAAGGCTGCTAGTTCCTTAGTAACTCGGACACAGGAGAGGGACTCATGGGGAACAAGGAAGATTTCAGTGTCTCCCCTCTTTTCCTGCTGGTCTGAGGAATGGGAAGGAAGAGTAGGATCCCCTCTTTATGCATATCCCACCCTCATTTTCCCATCCCAGGATAGATATAGAATTTCTTTGATATTTATAATATATATATATGTATATATATATATATGTACACACACACCTGGTAACGCAGAAGAGGAAAAAAATAGAATCCGTAACAATAATAAAAAAAATTATTTCTGGTTTAAAAATGATCTGGTTCCCTCCAGGGCGAGCAATTGCACAGATGTCCACTGAGTCTGGTCCAGGGGCCAAGGAAGGACAGGACTTAAAGGTGGAAGGGGGTCCGCTATCCCAGGTCCCAATTCTTCAACTCCCCAACTCCATGGCATTTTGGGAGAGCTCTTCATCCTCTTGGAATCTGTCCATGAGGGGGAGAGGAGCCCCTGGAAGGAAGGAAGGTGGCCACCTGGGGCCCTTTGGTGCAGGCGCGGAGGCATTGGGGAAAGGGCGCGCCGAGGCTCACACCGATATTTCATAAGTGGTACCCCCCACCCCTGACACCTTCTTAACTCCTCCTCTTGTGGGACTACTGAGAGGTGGCTGGCCGGGGCCAGGGGAGGCTGAGCCTAGACTTTTGGGCTGCCCATTGGACTTGCTGTAGGCGGTCTTGAGCTGTACTTCATCTCTGCAAAGAAAAAGAACTAGGTGTCAGGAAATGGGATATACAACACAGAAGAGGAGAGACAATTAAAATGTTAGTAGGAAACTTGCACTCAATCCACAATAAAAACCTTAAAAAAAATAAAAATAAAATGTTAGTAGGAGAAAAGTTACTCTTCTCCATACTCACAACTCCTCTTTGTTTGCACCCTCCTTACACTTCACCCAATGATGGCTCTCTCCACTGCCCGCCTCTAATGGTAGCTATATGTCGTGTCCTTACTCAGGAATGAAGGCACTTTTTTAGTAAAGTCAGGATTAAGGGAAAAGTGCTTCTCCTTCCTGGGTCCTGACAGGAACAGCCCCGTGAGGGCAGCTGATGCCCCTGTGCCCCCACACCAGGATGGCCTGCAGGGTGCCAGGACCACACTCGTACTTACTTGGCTGTGAGTAATGGCTGCAAGGCCACTTCTTCTGTCTCAGCAACACCAGGGGGCGCTTTGGCGCTGCTGTAAGATATAGATCGGCCCAAGTAGGAGGCAGGTGGGCCTGGTTCAGGGGACCCTAGTCCCCGGCTCCTTAGCCCATCAGGCTTGCCAAAACGAGGGGCAGTCGGGCGTCCCAGTGGAGTTTTGCCCAAGGGTGATCGCTTTGAATCATCCGAGGAGGAGCTAGTACGAGGAGCATGGCCTGAGCCTGGGGTTGACTGAATGCCTGAGTCCCCCAAGCCTGGTTCTTCCTCCCGGCCTGGGAGTGGGGGTGACTGGCGTAGCAGCTTCTCTCGTTCCTGGAGGGAGGCCACAATATGGCGTGACAGATTGTCGTACCGGACTGGTGAGGGCTCTCGGTGTGATGGACCGGTTGGCACCAAACGTGGGTGCCTGTCGGCTTCCCGTTGCTGGGCCAGCCGGGCTGACAGGAAGGGAGAGGTGTAGCCTAAAGGTGGCTCCGGGTCAGGCCCAGCCTGCACTGACTCAAAATCAGGGCTGTCTGAAGGCGTGAGTAGACTGTCGTAAGATAAGCTTCCATTGCGGGTCTGGTTGGCCAGGCTCTTATAAGAGGTGGAGGTCGTACCCTCTGAGCGAATGGATTGCAACTGGCCCAGCTCAAACCCTGTGCCTTGGGCTGACTTGAGGCTGGAGGAGCGTGAGCCACTCGACAGTGGGTCAAAGTGAAAGCTTTTGCCAAAGGTGGGCGAGCGGAAGCTCTCTGGCTCCAAACTAGGCTCTGAGCGGTAGCTGGGATGGCGGCTGCTCTCTGCAATTGACGTTGGCTCCTTCAAACTGTCCCCACGACTCAACTGAAGGAGAAAGTAATGCAGGCTCTTAGTGCTTTTGTGGCAGAGCTAGGCCCCAGAGGCCAAGAATTCAGTCAAAAACAATGTCTAGCATGTGCTAGTAATCAGCTTACAACTTTCACTTAGTCCCTAAAACAATCTTCGAACAAATAAAATCTCATTTTATGATGCAGAAAATAAAGCTTACAGAAGTTAACTGGCTTGTAGAACTGGGTTTTGAACTCAGGCTTGACACTAATGAGAACTTTCATCCAGGACACTTCATTTGCCCTCTTTGATGACAGACAGACTATTCAATTCCATTAATGCCAGCAATTCTTTGGCTTCCCCCTTCTCTTCTGCCCTCAATCATTTTATTCCTAGACACAGCTGGCATACGTTATGACCCCTTCTCAGTACCTTAGCGCTGGAAGAATGAGGCATGGCAGCGGACGTACTGCTGCTACTGTAACCCGGCCGATACTTGTACATGGTAGGCGTAGGAGGGCTGTCCTTGCTCAGGAGGCTGCTATCTGCAGGGAAAAAAGCCTAGGGAGTACTCGTCCTTAGAAAAGTCTGGTGGGAGCACCCAGTAGGAACAGATCCTACCCAGCAATGGGAAACTTCCAGGAGCATCGAGGTTGCTGAAATCAAGACAAGTGCAGAGCACAGGATGGGTGAAAGAACAGGTCCTTGTCTGGCCTAGGAGCTGCCACTTTTACCCACAAAAGCCCAACTCACTACCCACAGCTAAGTGGCAGTCCCTCTCCTCCAGCATCCCATAAAATGGCCTAAGTAGCACCTAGTGGGGATTCTCAGCCACAACACAAGTGGGACCTCCCAGCCCATGCCCAGCTTCCCTCTTCGTGGCTCACAGCTTCCTGACTCCGGCCTACCCTATCAAGGACCTTGCAACCCTTACCTTCAGTAGCAGTCAGACTGAGGTGTGTTCGTAGCCCCGTGTAGCGGCTTAGGTCTGGCTTAGGAGGAGGTGGAGGTTCAGCATCTGCGGACTGGCTCTCTGTTATCTCCAAGCTTCCCTTAGACTAGATAAATGGGGGACCAGAAGAGGGCGGTTAAATTGGGAGAAATCAACCTTAGGGCAACCCAAATTGGTATAAGAGGGGTGCTGGGGTATCAATGATCATGTATTTTGAAGCTTGGGGATACTACTGAATCAGTTTGCAACTGATTTAATTCTGGCACTCATTTGTTCATTTCAACCAAGAAGTCATGGAAATGAATTGACTCACTTTCTACTGTCAATGAACTTACAATCTAATGGAATAAAGGTATTTGAGCAATTTTAACACCAACCCCAGCGTGAAAGAGATGCAAATTAAAAGTTTCCCTTCCTTTGCCAAAGGTGAGCTCTCCCAAGTCACCTTCATTCTTCCCTAAATCCTTACCTTAGTTCTCCTCAGCTCTCCCTGGATGCCATTGTCCATGATCTTCACAGGGATTTGTCCATCGGAGACTTCCGGTCGAAGGAAGGGAGGTCGGATGACAATTGTTTTCTCTTTCTTTGGCCTCCCCAAATACCTGAGTGTCAGAATGAGAGTGCTTTCATTCACTCATTCATTTTGAAATAGGCACTGGTTAGCTGCTCTGTATGAATACGAAATTCTACCTTGTCACTGAAAAGGTCAGCATTGCACTGACTGCTGAGGAACCGCAGCTACCCAGCTCAGGGCACTCTGAAGTCAAGCCCACCTGCAACTCTTCAAGAGTAAGAGTCACCCTAGTACCTGCAGTGCATCACCTGAACCCACAGGGTCCACTTCCTCACAGCACAGGCACTCACCGTTCTAAGAGAGCAGTCTTAGAACTCCTAAAGGCAGTCTCCATGCGCTAGGCCACAATAAGCCCAAGGAAGACAAGTGTTTTGAGCAAGAGGGGCGGCTGTACCTGGGTGCTGGGGAGCTGCAGAGTACGCGGCTGACATTGTTACAGCAGCCGTTGGTGAAAGGGTTCACACCTCCCCGGAATTTACCCGTAACCTAGAGAGAGGGAAAAGGTCAACTCAATCAGATGGACCTGGACTTCCAAAGGCCCAAACAGCCACAAGAAATGACTACGGTGCATCTACTCCCTGGGGGACACAAAAATGAATAAAGCCTAGTCTTGCCATCCAGGAACTTGTATTTGTGATGATTAGAAATGGGGGCTCTAGGGCCTGGATACAAAGCCTATGTCTACCTCATAGAGCTAGTTGCCTGACCCTACACATCTGTTTCCTCATGTACAGTAGGGATAAATATCTCTTAAAATATTGAAAAATAACTCAACAGTAGTCCTGGTGTGGTGCTGTGGGTTAATGCACTGGACTGCAAAGTCGGTTTGAACTGCAAGGTTGGTGGTTCAAACTCACCAGTCGCTCCATGGAAACCCTCTACAGGGTCGCTATGGGTTGACGGCACTTAACAACAAGTGTGGCGCTATAGGACACATACTGGACTGCTAACCATAGGCTGGCAGTTCAAACCCATCAGGTCACTCTTCGGAAACCCTTCACAGGGTCACTATGAGTCAAAACTGGCTCACTGGCACGTAACATTATATACGGGGTTCTGATGTGGCACTACAGGATAACCACTGGACTGCTAACCACAAAGTCAATGGTCCAAACCCACTAGTCACTCCTCAGAAACCCCATACAGTCACAAGGAGTTGGAAACAACTCGATGATTATTTAAGAGCAGCAGCAATTATTATAGGTACAGAAATTGTAGTTTTTCTATAAGCTTCTTGAGCACTGGCTCGCCTGGTTTCCTGAACCTAGCACCTAGAGTATCCAATATACAGTAGGCGCTCTGTAAATGTTTGTTAACTACGGACTGGCCTCGGCTCTCATGCTTGCACGATACACGTGGAACTGCCTCACCCCACCATCCAACTTAGCGTTCTCATGAACCGTGTCCAGTAAAGCATCTCCTGTGGAAGCAATGTCATACGGCCAACAGAACCCTAAGAGACAGATGTTCTTGAGAGACTTCTACCCATACCTGCTCATTGGTTGTACGTCCCCTAGCCACCAGCACCACGTGAAATCCCGTGAGGCCAGCTACAGGGATGAAGAATAAGCCAGCCACACACATCACTGCCATTCTGAAATCAAACCATTAAGGAGAACAGCACCAAGGGAGCTCACCTGCCGGGCCGCGGGGATGTCATTTTCTCTGACCTCCACTACCAAAGGGTTCACCTTCCCACATTCACCCCCTCCCAATCCTGCCACCCACAGGCCTGCAAGGATACGTGACAGCCGTGCGGACCCCTGAGAGTTCCTCCTTATGGTAGAGGACATAGAGGAGGCCAAAGCCAAACACACCCATAATGTGGGCAGTCAGGGAAAGGAGAAAGAGGAAGAAATAGCGGTAGTTCCGGCGTCCGATACAGTTGTTAACCCAAGGGCAGTGGTGATCAAATTCCTAGGGGTAAAAAGAGACAGTGAGAGGCAGCCTTCGACCAAAGCAACCTGTCAAGAGAACTTGAAGAAGTTTCACTTTTAAGTCAATTGTAATTATGTTCACCATTTAGTTAAAAAATACAAAGATTCATGCAATTTATCTTGCTCTATTTATACCCTGTAAGGAAGATCCCTCAGAGGTTGGTCAACGCTCATGGCAGGCCCTCAAAGTTTTACCCTATGTGACGAAGGAACTCTAAAGGGAATGAAAGACTCTGCAAAAATGTTCAGAATCTCGAGAGGAGAGGAAAATCTGGCAGGCAACTGCCCACAGTAAAGATGGATTGGAAAAAAAGGTAAACAGTGAAAATAAGGGAATGAGAGAGACAGGCAGGAAAAGAAACAGAATTGTAGAAACTTTAATACAAGAGAGCCGGCATTAACAAGTACAAACAAAGAGGCAATGACTCTTGGTGCTGGGAAGCATAAGTCCACGTGTGGTCTAAGCTTCCCTCCCTGGAGGAAATATGCTCCGCTTCTACTGTGTCTATCGCTGCTAACACCTTTGGACAAAGCTAAAACAAGCAGCCACGTACGTGGTCAGTCAGGACTGTGTCTTACCAAGACTAAGGAGTTACAGGATTCTTAATCGATGGGTAGGAAGATGGTGACTTAGCTTAAGTGTCAGGATTTCTCCCACCCAGCGTTCTTACCTCCACACAATTGTCACAGACACTGCAGTGGGAACATCGAGGAGGGCGGTAGAAACGGCAGGTGGCACACCATTTCATGCGCACCTGGATGCCCTTGATCTCCACTGTTTTGTAAAGAGGAGCTCGGAAGTCATCTTCCTTGTCCTCATCCTCCTCAGCTGTAGAAAATAAAAGTCCATTAAAAATGGGCAGGCCAGGAAGACCACAAGCAGAATGTGGGACCCTATCCAGAGAAGCAGTGACATCAGGGATGGGGACATGAGTAGAAAGCAAGCAACTGAAGACTCTAGATTCCTGAAAAGAAAAAGGCTGTGTGCTGGTGGCAAAAGGCAGGCTTGCAGAATGTGCCCTTTTGTTGTTTAAATTATTATATATTCCTGACTGTTTTGTGTACTCCCACAAACAAAAAACAGGGAATAGAAGCAAATACTGTTGAACAATGATGCATGGAGGGGATTGTAATCATTTCAATGAAACAATGTGTGTAAAACTGATGTTCTCCTACACAAACTATCACTCAATTAACAATCAAAACTTAAAAAAGACGAGGCCAGGAGTGTAGTAGGCACTAGGGATGTAGTAATATTTACAATATGGCCTCTGCCTTCAAGGAATTGAGTCTAATGGGTAAGAGACTAGAAGCAAGTGGCTATAATTGTATGAGATGAGCTCAATGTATAACACTGTGGGAACGGAGATGAGGAAGCAATTTATTTCTTATTGAGTGAATTCGCCTCCTTGAAATGAGAATAAAGAGAAAGTGACTTGAAGGAGGCAGCCTGGATATGGGTACACAGATATTCTTTGATTTAAATACTATGAAACAGAAAATCCATATGTCCAAACACATATTTAACGTTTGCATAGCAATCAATGCTTACAAATACATGGCTGAATTAATACGATCCAGGAGAGGAACGAATGAACATCAACCTTTCTGCCATACAGAAACCCCTTACCCAAAATGCCTTTCTCTGCTTTACTAATCCTCCATGTGTATTTCAATATTGTTTGTTCCTCAAACCATTCTCTACCTGAATGCCCTTGTGCTCCTAATTTTCAACTATCAGAAATCTACTATATCCCATTTAAAAACTTAAAGGGCGTTATTTGCCTTTGCAGTCAACAATTTTATTATTGTTATTAAGCTAAAAAATGGAGCTGTAAAAAGGAGAGATTAAGTAAGTTATGGAGTCCTGGTGTGGCACTGTGGGTTAAAGCACTGGACTGCAAGGTCAGTTTGAACTGCAAAGCCAGCAGTTCAAGCTCACCAGCCACTCTTCAGTGTAGGTACGAGTGGGAACCGACTCGATGGCAATAACAACAAATAAGTGATGGTACAGCTATTAAAATCTAAGTTTTCAAGTTCTAAAGCCTTGGAGAAATGCTTACAATATAAATAAGTGGATAAAACAAAGTGAAATCTACAAAGATATCACTGAATTTACTAAATAAAAAACTGTGTACTGAACAGATGCTGTGTGTGTACATATACAGAGATATATGAGGGGGCTTCAAAAACTTGGTGAAAAAATGCAATGAAAAGACAATGGAGTATTTCCAGGAACTTTCTGAAGTCCCGTATATGAGTTGCTAGTGGATGCTGTCGAGTTGCTTCCGACTAAGAGCAACTTTATGAAATACACACTGAAGCGCTGCCTGACCCTGCACCACTCTCCCAATTGTTACGATTGAGCCGAATACTGCTGCCAGGGTATCAGTCCATGCTCCTTTACCAAGCAAGGTGTCCTTCTCCAAGGACTGGTCCATCCTACTAACATGTCCGAAGAATGAGACACAAAATCTCACCATCCTGCTTCTAAGGAGCATGCTGGCTAGGCTTCTTCCAACACAGTTTTGTTTGTTCTACCAATCCATGGTATTTTAAAAATTCTTCTCCAACACTGTAATTCAAATCTGTAATTCAAATGTATCAATTCTTCCCTGGTCTTCCCTATTCATTGTCCACCATTCACAAACATAGGAGGCTACTGAAAATACCACAGGTTGGGTCAGACACACCTTAGTCCTCACACTGACATGTTGCCTTTAACACTCTCAAGAGGCCTTGTGCAGCAGATTTGCCTAATGCAATCTACAGTTTAATTTTTTGACTGCTGCTTCCATGAGTGTTCATTGTGGATCCACGCATAATGACGTTTTTGACAACTTCAACCTTTTCTCCATTTGTCATTAAGTGCTATCGAGTCGGTTCCAACTCATAGCAACCCCATATAGAGTTTCTGAGGAGCGGCTGGTGGGTTTGAATCATCAACAACCTTGTGGTTCACAGTCCAGTGCTGATCCTCCAGAACCACAGCAGGAGTCCATTCCTCCATTTATCATGTTATTTACTGGTCCAGCTGTGAGGACTTGTGTTTTCTTTACACTGAGGTACAATCCATACTGAAGGCCACGATCTTTGATCTTCATCAGTATTTTAAGTCCTCTTCGCTTGCAGGAACCAAGACTGGATCATCTGCATATCGTAATATGCAGATAATACAACTATCCAATCCTAATGCCATACTCTTCTTCATATAATCCAGCTTCTTGAATTATTTGCTCAGCATACAGACTGAATACGTACGTTGTGAATACTTATGTTTAAAGAGTACAACCCTGGCATACATCTTTGCTGATTTTAAACCATTCAGTATTCCCTTGTTCTAACAAATGCTTCGTAGTCTATGTACAGGCTCCTCATAAGCACAATTAAATGTTATGGAATACTCACTCTTGGCAATGTTATCTGTAATTTCTCACAATTCACACAGTGGAAAGCCTTTATATAGTCAATGAAGCACAAGTAAACTTCATTGTTGTTAAGTGCCACTGAGTTGGTTCCAACTCATAGCTACCCTGTACAGGGTTTCCAAGGAGTAGCTCGTGGATTTGAACTGCTGTACTTACGGCGAGTAGTCCAGTACTTACCCTATAGCACCACACCAGGACTAGCCCGTCTTGTCTTTAGGGGCTCAAGAGTTCCTTCCACTCACCTAATCTCTGCACGGAAGCCAAATGGAACACAGTGATTCCAGCAGTAGGAGCATGAGGAACCATGGATGTCACAGTTCTTTCCTACACCATGAACTTCAGAAAAAAACTCAACTCACCCAAGGACCTATACCAATCCAACCTGCCTCACTCTTTACACGACAACCTCCCATTTGAGAGGAAAACCAGATGTCATCAGTAATCAGCTTTTCTACTTTCTACCTGTTACTCCACAGATGACAGTTCTTATTCTCAACTATCTCAGAAATAAGCTACTTCTGTAAGGATAGCCCTTCAATGTACATGGGAAAAGCATCTACTTCCTCTAGAAGTCCACTCTTCCGTTAACTTCTGTCTTGAAGTTTCAGCTCCTTTCTGGTTTGTCTCCTCATGCCATAAACATGCCTTTCAAATCCTAAAAGAATCTTCACTCTATAAAGTCATAATATTCCAAACAGTCTGGCGTTGATATAGGATATACCTATAGACCAGTGGAACAGAATTGAGTCCAGAAATAAACTATCTATGGTCAGCAGATTTTCAACAAGGGTGTCATTGGCCACTGGGATGGGTAAGAAAGAACAGTCTCTTCAAAAATACTGTTGAGACAACTGAATCTCCCTGTCTAAAAAATTACCTTGGACCAATACCCCACACCACAGATGCAAATGAACTCAAAATGGATCAATTACCCACGTATAAGAACTAAAACCATACAAGTTTTAGATGGCACCAAAAGCAAGAGCAACAAGACCAAGTAGACAACTTGGCGCCTTACTATTCATTAGTCCTAGTTGCTGCCAAGCTGATACAGACTCATGGCGACCTACATGTGTCAAAGCAATACCATGCTCCACAGGCTGATTTTGTGGAAGCAGATCCGGGCCCTTTTTCTATGGCACTCCCAACCTTTCATTCAGTAATCTAGCAGTCTAATGAGTTCACTGCATGTGTGGCCTAGGACTCCCCAGTAGCCACTGTTGCTGTCAAGTCAGCTCCAACTCATAGCAACCCTGGATAGGGTTTCCAAGGAGCAGGTGATAGTTTGAACTTCTGACCTTGTGGTTCACAGTCCAGTGCTTATCCTATAGTGCCACACTGTTAGCCATTTGTTGTTAAGTGACATCGAGTCGATTCCAACCCATAGTGACCCTGGATAGTGTCTCCAAGGAACAGCTGGAGAGCTTGGACCACCAACCTTCAATTCACACAACTTTTGCAGTCTGACACATTAGCCCACAGCGCCACACCAGGACTCCTTGTTAGCCACCAGGGAAATGCACATCAAAATCACAATAAGCTATCATTTCACCCACGATATCTACTATCAGAAACTAACAAAACGTTGTCAAGGATGTGGAGAGACTGAAACTCTCACCCACTGCTGGCAGTGTGTAAAAATAGTACAGTTGCTATGGACAAGTTTGGGGGTTTCTCAAAGAAGTTCACCATAAAATTACCATATGACCCATTAGCTCACTCCATATAGACCCAAAAGAATTGAAAGCAGGGACTCAAACAGATACTCCAGTATTCTTTGCAGAACTATTCACAATAGCCAAAAGGTGGAAACAAATCATAAAAAAAAAAAAAAATCAAACCAACAAAACATGGCATTACTCATATATTCACACAATGAATTATTCAATTATTAAGAGAAATTAAGTTCTGATAAATGTTACAACATGGATAAATATAGAAACAGTATGCTGAAGTGAAATCAGTCACACACAAAAGACAAATACTGTATGATTCCATTTATATGGAATATCTATAATAGAATAGAATAAGCAAAATACATATAGACAAGTTTATTAGTGGTTATTATTACCAAGGTATAGAGGGAGGGGAAGAAGAAAATGAGGAGTTCTTGCTGAAGGGATACAGTTTCTGTGAAGAGTGAAGAAAAACATTTGATTATGTCCCCTCATTTCCTACCCACTATCCTCCAAACCATTAGAATTTAGTAATCTGGCTGCACCTTTTCCTTATACAAAAACACACTAATGTAACTGTTAAGATCACTAATTTCTTAATTAAAAAAACAGTGGGCAATTCTAAGTTTCCAGACTGTTGGGAGCTCTCATTCCTGATCTAGCCAACCATCAGCTACTTCATGAATGCTGGCTTTTTCATTCAGTTCCATTGTTTGCAGTTTTTTCTACTGACTGTTCTTATTCAATCACTCTTCAATGGCTCCTCCTTCTCTGTTGTTATTATGAAGTGCTGTCGAGTGGATTCCAACTCATAGCCACCTTGTATAGGGTCTCTAGGGAGTAGCTGGTGGGTGTGAACAACCAACGACCTTGCAGTTAGCAGCCTAGTGCATATCCGACAATGCCACAATAGAGCACCTATGTTGTTAAGTTGGTCCCGACTCATAACAACCCTGTATAGGATTCCCGACGAGCAGGTGATGGGTTTGAAGCAACAACCGTACTGTCATCAGGCCAGAGCTTGTCCTATTCGCTACCATAGGACACCTGTGTTGTTGTGATACCTTGGATTTACTTGATACAGTTTTCTATCCATGTCTTCTTTAATTCCCACAGTGAGTGGGTGGGGCCATGTAAATAAGGTATACAGGACTCTTAAGGCTAGGATTGGTTAATTTTGCCCTCCAGCTAGGTCTAAAAGGAGCCATCTCAGAAGCAGAACACAGGATCCTAGGAGGAGAGTGAGCTCCCTCCCTAGAAAAGAAGTGATAGCACAGGTGACAGCACAGGGGACAGCACAGGTGGAGGCATGAAGTGACGGAGCAGCTTCAGACTCTAGGCCCAGGACAGTAAAGCTCAGTATCTACAGGCAGGAGACTGGCTTGCCGAACTTGCCCTTTTGGGTATTCACAGACTGGCTAAGGGAGCTTTGTAACATTTTCCCGAGTCAGGTAGAGGCCAACAGCCCACACGCCTGAGAAGCCAAAGACCAAGAGGCGTGTCTGCAGTACAGTAGAGAAGAGACGGCGTTCCTGACTGGAGAACTGCTGCATCCTTGGTTGGTTTTGATCCTGATTTGGAACCTGTTCACCCCCCTCATAAACCCCATCCTTGTGGGTATTGTTTCCATAATCGTATTGTTCTGAGTTGTGATAATCCCTGAAATGGATTACTGAACTCAGATGTTAAGCAGAGAGTGCTATGAGAGGGATAGTTGGTGTCAGAAGAAGGCTGTAGGGTGGAAGCATGTCTGACACCCACTTTATAGGAATCAGCCTTGATTTTTTTTTTTTTCCCCCAGCCTTGATATTGAGTTTGATTCTCCCTCCCCTTTAGTGAGGCTAAAGGAAGTCAATACATGGCCCCCCAGAGGGCTTTTGCATTTGTTGTTAAGTGACCATGTGTAAGGTTTCCGAAGAGCAGCTGATGGGTTCTAACCGCCGACTTTGCTAGTCCAGTGCGTATCCTGCAGCACTACACCAGGATACCCGCTTCTCCTCTGCTCCTCTGTGTCAGAACTGCTCATGTGTGACCTTGGCTGTTTCCTAATCGTCTACACACTACCCTTGCACTCAGATATATGGGGGACAACTCCTGAAGAAGGGTCCTGGACTGGGACACCTCAATCACACATGACCTCTAAGTTTCTGACCTCTAACAGGTCTACAACAGCTCCTCATATCTTCTCGCCAAACCTACTCCAACTCCCATAACCCCTTATCTTGATTTACCCTCCCAAGTATGGAACCTTGAAACTATTCTCGCCGACTCCTTCTTCCTCCCACTCTCCCAGAATAAGTAATTGGTCACATCTGCTGTGTCTACTTCTAGTATCTGCAAACCCAGTCTGGAATTCAAGTTCTCACCTGGAATGTATTATTCCAACAGTCTCCCAAATTATATCTGTGTATTATTATAGGAAGCTTGTTTTATAATTATCTCTGTAAAACTAAAGGGTCAACAGCTCTTTTAAAGCACAGATGAGGAGGAGGGGGGTAGGGAAATGTAGCAAATTGAAGTGAAACAACTAAAACAGAAAGGATGAGAATGTTGACACAAGGTGCGGCATGGAAACGCCATCACTGATGTCTAGAAACTGGAATGGGAACAGGTTTTACTTTTCACCAAAAATAACGCCCTTCCTCCTGTATCTTCAACTTGAAGGCTTTCCCTCCCACCTTCAACAGTATTTCCCCGATTTATCTGGGCAAATGTAAGCGTACCCTTTCGGCCTTTCCTTTCCAAGCCTCCACACTCCAGCTTGTCTCAACCTATTACACCTTTCTAAGTCACTTTGGTTATCACAGTACCTAGCTATACTGCTTAACCCATGCTCTGAGAAAATTTCTGCTGAATGAATACCTACAAGGAAGTGTTACCCCAAAGTGAACCACATGGCTGGATATTACGACATATATTCCTAATGGACACCATTAGACTAAAAAGTATCCCATAATCCTAAAACTTATAAGGCACAGGTCATGCAGAAATCATTATTTTTCAAAGGTAATAAAGAGCTTCCGAGAGGAGAGGGAGATCTTACCTCGAGGGAAAATGCCTGGGTCCATGAAGGTGGCCATGCTGAAGTTGGCCAGCACGAAGAGAAAAACAATCGCATTGTAGATGGGCACTGCAGGTGACACAGACAGGCTGAGTCCTGGACATCTGCACAGATAAGAAGGAAAATGAAGAGCTGCCTCTCACACATGGGACACCAACCATACTCATGAAATAATAGCAAGATTCTAAAGAGGCCTAGCTTAGGGAGAAAATGCGAACTTTCTGAGGGAGGCTGGCAGCCAACCATTTCATAAGGCTGAGGGTTCCTTCCTATGCCTCATCAACAATAATCAAGAATTTCCACTTCACTCAGCCCCGACACCTATGTATAAATCTTCACTCATTTTTTAGATCAATGTTTAAGATTTAGAGAATCTTCCCTACCTTAACCCCTTGCATTGAGATCTATATTCTTCAGATTCATTCTCCTCTGGAGTTTACAACAGGTTTTAGAATCTGCCTTTATCTCCTCTCTACTAAGATATGAGAACTTGGGACAGACCACATACATAACTCACATCAGCCACACTCCCTTCTTGGGAGCTGCCTAAAGTCATGTCCTTCTGACCTGCACATCAGCCTAAATCACAAGCCGCCCCCTGCTTCTCTGGTGCCCCTTACCCCTTCCCAGCTGCTGTGAGTCACTCTCAATTGCCTAAAGTTTCTTCATTGCTTCAGATATCTAGAGGCTAGTTCAGATAACAGACTAGGCATCAGGACCCCTGGAGATCTAAAACTGAATGAGAAATGGGAGATGAAAAAAAGAGCTGACCAAAGAAGCCCTAAGTCTAATAGGGAGAAGAAACTAACCAAACATAGCCAGATTTGTCCATAACAACCAGGGTTATGAATCTACAGGGAACCCTTCCAGAGCCCTTCCCTCCTTTGCTGACAGCCTGGGAGTTGCAAATTTCAGAAGAATCTCTGAGGTGTTGTTTGCTTGGTCAGTCGTATCAAACACTGTCTTTACTGTCTCAGCTTGGGGAGAACTTCCTATTTCAAGACAGCAGTTGAATACCGTAATCTGCTTTGTGGCTAAGAACTTAATCTCCAGAATTAGGCCAACAACTGTCCTTGTCCCCTTTATCTTGACCAGTTAGAATAAAGAAAGAAGAGGCCAGGAGACCATATTATATAAGCCTGGTGGATTCATCCACAGCCATCCTGGATTCTGACAAGAGAAGTGGTCTAGCCCCATCAAACTGAAATAGCAGCCCTGAATCCTGATTTGTGATGGTTTGGATGAACTGAGCTCCTAAATGAGAAACAAATAATCCTTGGCAACTGACAAAACCGACTGTCTGAAAACATCTCTTAAGTCTTCAAAACCACTCATTCATTAAATTATATAGATATGTATATACATGGAGCTCTGGTAGCGTAGTGGTTACGAATCGGGCTGTGAACCTTAAGGTCAGCAGTTCGAAATTACCAGCCGCTCCGCGGGAGAAAGATGAGGCTTTCTACTCCCGTAAAGATTTACACCCTCGGAAACCCTGTACAGGGTCGCTATGGGTCGGAACCGACTCGACGGCACTTAACAACAACAACAATACATGTATCATTTAACTCTTTCCTTCTCTTTGATGAATCAACCTAACTGAGAACAAAACAATGAAGCTGGAGTGAGGACACCAATGGCAAGGACAAAAAGAGCCCTTCTGTCACAGTCCTAGACTGTCACCAAATAGTCTCTTATGGAAGCCTCTTCCTCGTGTCAAGTGCTTTGGTTCAAAAAAGATGCCCCCATTATTTTAGCAGGGTTTCAGGTGAAGTTTGTACTTTGTATTTTAGCAAGGAAGAGTCTTTGCCCAGCCCCACCCAACCAACCTCCTCGGTTCCTCTGGAGGGTAAGAGAGAAACTGAAAACCAGTCATCCAGGTCAGAGCCTCTCCCTAGTACTTAGCTGTCGCTTCCATTTCCGCCTGAGAAGAGGAGAAAGGGTGACTCACTTGACTCCCACAGCCTGGGAAGACAATTAGAGGGAAAAAAAGAAATAAAATCCTCACAACATTGAGGAATCTGATTTAAAAGCTCATTCTTAGAAGTGGCCACTGTGACTACTGTGGACTCTAGTACTTCTGAAAGAAGCAAGCAAGGAAGGCTATCCTCCACTCCCGAGGGAAACCAAGGTTCTAGAAGAGCAGGTAAGAATGAGCTATCAGGCCCTTTTAAAGGCCCAAGTGGCAACCCTTTTGACTTCATTTCTGTCCAGTTTCATTTCCAAACAAAGCAACTCACCTAATTTCTTTGGTATCCTGCCAACCACGTACCTCAAGATGAACTTTAGCCCAACAACTTTCTACAGAACAACCCAACCCAGTTGAAGTTATAATCCTGGAACTGAGTTCCAATATGTTGCCAAAATAAACGCTGCCCCTATAGTGACAGATTCTAGAACTGGTGAAAACTACTCAAAGAGCTAGTATTTGTGCTCACACTGAAATCCGAGACCCACTGTTGACATCCCTAGCACTCTGGCTGAGAACACAGCACCTAGAGGAGGCAAGCAGGAGCAGAACCTGTCCCTACCATATCCCATACACTTCTTGGCTAGAGGCTTTCTGTTGCGAGAGTACTTTGCCAGATTCCTAGGTGACCACCCCAAGAAACCTGTCTGAATCTGCTGCCTTTGATGGAAGGAGGTGAGGCCTGAGCTGAAGAGGAGTTGTTAGGGCCCGTCCTCAGCCTATGGCGATAATCAAGACTCCAGCAGCTCTGGGAGTGGCCGCAACCCAAGAGGCTGACTGACTCATTGATGGGACTCCCAGATAGATCTACACCATCCCAAGAAAAACAGGTTCCTCTGCCCACCCATTCAGCACTCCCAGTTCAACGTCAAATCCAACTGAGAGAGTAGGTTTCAGTATCCACACTTCTGACATCCTGGTTCCTAGGCCTTCTAAGCATTTCCTCTTCTAAAAGGTAGTTCAATTCTTGGAAAGAAAAACAAAGTGGGAGTCAAGAAGCCTTGGATTTTAATCCTATCTCAATCAATGCTTGCTGTGTGATCTTAGGCAATAGACAGGGAACGCTTCAAGCCTGTTACTTCAGCTCCATACTATGGTTAAGAGATTGAAGGAGAGAATGTTTGAAAAGATCCTGGAATTCTTTGTACACCAGCTGGCTCAACACTATACAATGTCTGGATAGAAGATACAAGAAAACATTATTAGCCATCACCATCATCATCAATTATCATTCCAGCTCCACCTTATTTCTTAATTCCACTTCCCCCAGCTGAGATATTAGGGATTCAGGGACACTTAAGACAGAGGTACTAAGCTCCTGAAGAACTGACCTGCGCATTCCACCCATGCCAAACACATTGCTGCAGCTTATGACTAGTGTTCCATGCTGATGAGAGAAGGGCGGAATGGATGTCCCACTTCCTGCTGCCCTTGGGGATCTTCATTCAGGACTGTGTCATCCTCTGTCTCCCTCCAGATTCCATGAGGAAACATGGTCTCTCTTAAGAAGGGTATTAAATTCTTCTTAAAAAACCTGCTGATTGTGGTGCCTGTTAACCAGGCTTTCCAGCAGCTGAATGCTGAAATCTCAAACCTGAGCACTCGCCATTACTGAATGAGGATATAACTCGGGAAGGAAAAGGGACCACCACTGCTGAATTAAGTCTTAATCACAATGCTGTCCCACTCAAATTAGGGGCTGCCGCCTCTGCAGTCACACACATACACAAAAGACCAGAGGGAGAGCCATGAGGTTGCTCAACATTTTGGATAAAAGGGGAAGGAAGGGCCAGAAGAAGACACTGAAAGGAAGCATCTATATCATAGACGGGACACTGGAAGGCCATCACGGATTTCTGGACGACCCTTTTACCCCTCCCCTCCAAGGATTACCTGGAGCAGAGATTTTTACCCCACTGATTTTAGAACGGAACAAAATGAGATGCTAACTGAACTGACTTACATTATAACTAGAGGAGACTTTAGAGATGATACAAGCCAGTGATGTCTAATGGTGTTGCCAGGAGCTCTGAGAAGGTCTCAGGGGCCCTGCTCAGAAGGCAGAGAGAGGATGCCAAGCGGCTGGGCCTCTGGGCCACAGCTCACTCAAGCCAGAGCAGCCCTTCTTTTATGTTTTACATACAGGCAGTCTCCGGGGTGACTCGAGTTTGTCCTTTAATATTGTGGTCCCTGCTATGTAAATGAAACGAGTGGACCAACCCCATCTTGCAACAAATTCTTCATCACAACCATCTTCACTCACAGCACATGCAGCCTTTAAATCACGGGAAAGACTCAGTCTATTTTTACACTAAAGTAAGCATCCTACGTATTGGTCCTGACTTACCGATAAATTTGACTTAAAGACACACTAGCAACTGATCTCATTCATAACCTGGGGAACACCATACCGGGGTTACACTAAGATTTTATTTTTTAAAAGGGTCATGGTACTTTAAAAAGCTGCTCTAGTCCAACTTCCTCAGTATAGAAGACAACACTGAGGCCCATAATGGTTAACATATTTTACTAGCCCAAGCCAACAGTCCTAGATATCCCACTCACCTAGACCTGATCCTTCCGATCCTCCCTTACCAATCACAAAAGGAGAGGATCCAGGTGAACTATTATTACAAGCAGTCTAGTACTTAAGGGGTGGGGTGGGGTGTGTGTGTGCGTGTGCGTGTGCTACTTTCACAACTGCTCTCCTCCTCAAATAGTGTAAAGGGCAGGTGACTAAGACAGAAGTCCTAATAATCTCCTGCTTAGTTTGCTACTGAGTGCATTCAGTGACTAAAAGGTCCCAACTACTCCATTCAAGATTCTCTGGGGCAGCAGAGGACCATTTTTTTGATGATCAGACTCAATTCACAGTCAAGTTCTGCTCATAGCTTTCCCTGCTTGACGAAAACCCATGGATGATAAATCATCTCTAATTAGTTGAAGCCTACATGCCTCCACTAATTATATCTGCCAGCTGAAAGGGACTCTCCCCCTCCTACTCCCAGGCGTCTAGGCCTCAGAGTTAATTTTCACCTGGGGTTTATATTGATGTAGAAGAACAACTACTTGTAGCCTAGTGAAGCGACTAAGAGGATGACAGGGTAGCTACAGGCAGTTCTGGACTACCCAGGAAGCAAGGTAAGCATAGGCTTACTTGTGCTTACTTACTCATCTATAGTGAACAATTCACTTTTTCACCACAACAAAGATTCTGCTTCTGGCATCTTATTTTCTCCCAACCCCACAGCACCTTCCTACAGAACCAAAGTCTCTTTCCAAATTTACAATCCCTGACAGGGACATAGTAGCCAGTAAACAAGGTAAACATGAAAACCACGTGAAACTATTCACTACAGACTAGTACGGAAGATTACCTTGCTGGACTTACTGAGTAATCACTTACAGATTCAAAGGCCCAAACAGCAGCTGGTTCAAAAAGACTTTCTCTTGCCTTTCCATCTGAAATCATGAACAGTATTTTAGTTCCCCAAGGAATTGAACCTCAGAAGGGGCAGAGCCCTCTAGGAAGTGTTTCAGAATAGTGGCACCTTGGCCCAAGCCCACACCTGTGAAGAAGTCCTACAGTCAGACGGAGAGGAAGAGATGAGAATTGCAGAGGGCAACCCTAATTTTTATCCTTCCAAGAGGCAGATGATAGAGGAAGACAAACAGGGTATTTCTGCCTCCACAAAGTGGGCAGGAGCAACCCTAGGGGGAAGAAGGGAGCCCACAAATGGGTCCTATGGAAGCTAACACCAGGAGCAACTCTAACATGAGGTTCTTTTAACTTTGGATTAGAAGCAATACTTCCTGGTCAAGAATTATAGCCAACATTGTCCTCCCAAAGCCCTTTGCCTGAGTCTGTGAGGTCATGAATTGAGGAGGGCCCCTACTTTTCCGGCACCAGGGACCAGAAAAGTAGGTTAAATAGCTTCAACTGCCAATTGCAAAAAATGCCTGTGTCAGGACAACTCTGTAGGAAAACTGGTATAACCAGCCAAGCATTTCAGTGGTTCCAGATTAGCAAGTCAAGAAGAAGATTCTATTTGCCCTCTCTCAAGAACAGATGGGTTGAGAAAAACCACTTAGTACCCTGAACTTTCTAGCTTCTCCAAAGGCTTTACCTCTTGAAAGACACTCCTCAACTAAGCAGGTGTAAGAGGGCCAACTGGTCTTGACCCAGCACCGCAACTACAACAAGGATATTAATATCTGATATAAAATGTCTCTTGGCTAAAATGTTGATGGTACTTACAACAGAAACCAAAACAAGTTCTGACACTGATGACTCACTCCTCTATTGGTAGTCAATGCATAAAGTACAGCACTGAACATGCTGAGTTTAAGCAAGAGAGAAAGAACATGCAAAGGCGAAAGCAGATGCGAAGCATAGGACTGTGTTTTGAGTCCTGAGGGATCAACAAACATGGTCAGGCTGGAGAGCTGGGGTCACACACCTATGACCACTATACACTTCAGAGAAGAGGAGAGAAGTGAGACCATGCTCGTACCTCCCCCTGTTTAAAGCTAGATAAAAATAGATTATTATTACTTTGCTGATTCTTTTGAACAACTGATCCACATTTTTTTGAGTATTCTTTTTGGAATTCAAAGCTCCCATGTTGTGGTTTTCCTTGCCCCATTTCAGGTTTAATGTCTGTTCTATACTACTCCCCATAATAGTAACTGCTCCCACTTCACTAATTCCTGCTTCATTTTCATTCATCTTTCAATGGGTCCCAACTGTTTTCATTCTCTGCCACTTCACTTCATTATTTTCTTCTTTCCAGCAACATCCCACTGCTCTGAACAGCAGAGCACATCACTTTGAGCTTCCCAGATCTACAATGCTCTCATCACTACAAGAAGAGCAGCTAGAGAACCAACTCAGTGACACAACAGTTAACAGGCACAGAGGTGGAGTCATGGTCGTTTCTAAATGGGTAATGGTGATGTTCTTGCCAGGAGGTCCACAGCTAAAATACCAGAGAAAAGGGAAAGGGTCAATTGCTGAGTCTCTGCCACTAACAAGCAGACGAACATATTCTGAAGAGCCCAAGAGAGAATGATGCAGACCATACTACCTTTCCCAAAAGGACCGAGAAATGCAGAATTATTACCACTCTCTTCCGCAGGAACTTCCATAAAGGGACTCTCCTAAAACGCTCTTCCTAACTAAAATGTGTCCTTCCCCAGTGGTCCTTACTTCTCTAGGCTTTATAGCCTTTGTTAAGTTCCGTGGAATCGGTTCTGACTCATAGCGACCCTGTATAGGGTCCAGTGCTTATCTCCCAGCACCACACTAGGACTCCAGCTTTAGCATGAGTAAAGAGAAAATCACCTGAGTAACACGAAATCAACAACCTACAAAATGGTCTCATCGGTGTACCCTATAAATCAATTCTGAAACTTTCTAGTACTAAGGTGCTACAATCTCAAACCGAAGCTTCACACATCCTGGGGAAAAGCCATGTGAAAAACCTTTGGTTTAGTTCTTTCTCTCAGAGAATTGATTGTCTAAGCTGCTTCAAACCTCTCTGGTGGTTTCCTCCCACTTCCTTCCTAGTTCAGGATCATCTAATGAGAGCTGGGTAGGAAAACATGAAGACACCTAGGATTCGGGAGGGGGAGAGGGGAAGGTCATGGACTTAATGGAGTAAAAAGAATTTAAGATGCCTGGAAGTAAACAGGCTTTTCTTCACTTATCTAACCATATCTCTGGATTTGGATTTACCTATACCCAACATCATGTACTGCAGTCATTTGGTTTCATAACTAACTGAGCTGTAGGACAGGAGAACTTATTGGCCTTCTCACCACAGGCTCCTAGTTCACGTTCATCTGACCCAAGCCATTCCATGGGAGAAAGATGGGGCGGTCTGCTCCCATGAGGAGGTACAGCTGCAGAAACCCTATACAAGTTTGCTCTGTACTGCCACTGACTCGGCAACAGTGGGTTTGGTTGGGACCAAAACTCAAGAGAAAGCAGACCCCTCCTCACCTCCCACAGAGGCCCTCTCCCGCCCCCCCTAGTACCGCTACTAGGAGAAAACTCACGTAAAGGCAAAGAAGAGTGTTGTAGCTCCTACTAAGAAGACGGCGGCTGCTGAGACCGGGACATACTTGCTGGGTTTGAATCTCTTTCCAGACTCTGCGGGCATGTTGGAGCTCTGATGGGAGATCTGCCCTGCCGCATAGCCCAGGCCCACACAGCGGCAGAACAGACAAGAAATGGGATGAGGAGAACAATGGAGAGAAGAGTGCAAAAGGGAAGCAGGGAAACAGAAAATCTAAAGGATTACCCTTCCCCCTCCCACGTGAAACCAAAGGTCAAAAGATCTCAAACAGAGAAAAGCATATGGGAGGGGGAAAGGTGACGACTAACTCCAAATGACGAAAAACGACCTCCCCAAAACAAGGCAAAGGGGAGACTCAGTTTACAAACTGGAAGAAAAACAGTATGCTGTACACATGCAAATGGTGGCAAGCGGAGAACATGGGCAGACAGACAGACCAAGGAACAGTTCATGGATGGAAGCAGGTCTTCAAAAGGAAAGGAAGGGGAAAGCAGGGCAGAGAAGAAAAGGTCGGGCAAGGAAAGAGTCTTCTGAGGAGATACTCGAGTACCTCCACAACTACCACACTTCCACAAAATGTGAGCAACCCCTTCAGAGGTGGGCCCTGTGAACCTATTTGAATTCAAGAAGGAACCTGTGGCCCCTTCCCGTTTTAATGAGAAGCTGATTTACTGCCGCCCTTGTCCTTTTCAGGCAATCTCCTCAGTGCCACCTTTCCTGCACCTTGACTTCACCAGGGCTGGTAGGCTGGCAGTGGTGGGGAAGTTCTATTTCTCTCTTGTGAGGGCAAAAGCCTGCCCAACAGCTGTTCCAAGGTTGAACTGTAAATCCTTTTCTTTGAAGGGGGAGGGCAAAGAGAAAGAGCAGGCTTGTCTGTCTTCAATCTCTTCTTGTTATTCCCAAGCCATTTAAGGGCTCCGTTTCCTAAGGAGTTCATGCAAAACTAAAGGGGAATTTAAAATCCCCAAAGCCATAGTCTTCCCAATAAGCAGAAATTGAAGCAATCAATTCCACTCAATGCAACTTTATGAAGTTACTGTGGATGAAAACAAAGTTCTCAATTTCCAGACTAGTCGATGTCTCTGATCTTCTTTGATCTTGGGCTTTCTGGTTGCAGATCCACTGGGTCACAGTGCCACACCTGGAGAAAACAAGTATCTTTATCAGAGAAATTCTTTGAGGGCAGTTCCTAAAAACACCAAGGCTAAAAACAGGCTGCTCCGTTACTGAGTGTTTTTGAAAGACAGCTGATTTTCCATGTCACTTATACGGATGCAAGAAAGGACTGGCCACTGGGAGAAAAAATAGAATCTTTTTTTCTGTTGTCCAGACTGGAGGGAAGAAAAACCCAGCTTCACCCACCCTACGGTCATCAGAGGACTAGGTGTTACATGAACTCTTGCAAGGGGCCCATCTCACCTGACACAAATGGGCAGTAACAAGTAGCAAGAATATCAAAACTTTAAAACAAACACAGGCACATCAGTGACGGGCAGTCCTAGGAAAGAGATTCTCTTTGGACAAAAAGAGTATTTATTACTACAATGAAAAAAGAAAAATGTTACCTCAAAATTAGAACAGCAAGCCTCTTTCTCTCATTGGTAGGTTTTTAGTTATAACCCCAAAGAGGCAGAAGCTAAATGTATGGTCTTCTGGCATTAGCCACTAAAGGGCCTGAGTGAGAAATATTCTTGCACTAAAAGGTATGATGCCTTCTGTGAGAAACTGAGTCTACCGTAGGGGTTGGTCCTTTTCTTCCTAATTCAACAATCTTTTCTTCCTCCGTCAACCTATTAGGAAGAAAACAGAGCTCCACCCACTCAATATGATTAAGACTAACAATTATTTCTGTTGACGGTAGTAACAAAATAACACCAACACTTTGAATTTTATAGGATGCTTTTCATCTAGCGATCTCAAAGCACTTTACTAACATTATGTGGTGACACAATCCCTTATCCCACTCTGTAAAATGGAAGGCTAGAGAATGCCTGAGGCCATTCCACTGAATCACTGGGCAGCCACGTTCGGAACCCCAGAACCCACATGATGTACCTTTGCAGATACAAAGCCTGTCTACCTTCCTCACTCACCAAGCTACCTGCCCAGTGCTGATAACCTGGAATCTGTAAACCAAAAAATTATACTTAGATTAGAATTTTAAAAGAAAACACCTCCCTCAAACTATCTAGTATTTCCCAAGGCCAAGATGAAAGATTTCAGAAGATTTAGGTAGTGAAATACAAATGTGCCCTGGAATTCATCACTTCCCCTCTCTCTCTCCTGGCATGGAAGGCAAAAAGCCTTTCCTTCAAGATCGCTCTTTAACACAGAAAGGGGTTTAGAAGGAAAAGGAACATTAGAACAGAGTGAAACCCCAGTGAATATAAGAAATTATTACAGTCCTACAAAAGACAAACCCTCTGGAGCCCCTGATTTATATGATTTCTAGAAAAATCAAAGCCCAACCCACGGAAATCAGGCCTAAGTGCCATTTTTTAAACAAAGAAATTGTTGGTTTGTAGGCAAACTTTCCTAAGAACTTAGAAGATTGGAAACAATGTGAAATTACAAGACTTAAATTTCATCTAAAGGAGGCTATCATTTAGACACCATATATCATTTCAGATGTTACCTTATACAGAAAAGTCACACAGATTAATAGTGTCATAGTATTGAGGGGTCATGAAAGGCCATACAGTTTCAGGAGTACAATTATGGGATACAAGAGATCAGCATCTGAGATGTTCAGGGCTATACCTTAGCAGGCACAACAGGATCAATTCTAAAAATTCATTAGGTATAAATAGAATACATACACTTAGGTGTCCTGGTTTGTTGCTGTGGGAAACAGCACAGAACCATAAGGTCGGTTTGAAACACAAGGTCAGTGGTTCAAACTCACCAGCTGCTCCTTGGAAACACTATACAAAGTCGCTAAAAGTCGGAACCAACTCAATGACTTAACAAGTCTTAGCAGGAAGATGGATGTGCTGTCTCTAGTAGGGATAAGGCCAGAAGGGGCATGTGGTTCACCAGAGCTAGGAGTCTTAATCCTTCCATAGCTGTGAGAAAGGTATATAGAGATGTGTACATCATATCCAGACAGAAGAAATGATGGAATGGAAATATGTCTATGTGTGGACCGGGGTATATAGTTCAAAGGCTAAAAGTAAAACTCTAGGAACATACTGAAGATCTGTGTGTAAATGATCACTGACAGTAAAGTAACTTCTTAAGGGATAAACGCAGTACCGCTGATAGCTAGCCCAAGGATTGTTGTTGTATTATTGTAATAATACAATATACACACAGTAGTTACGATACAGGAGGAGTCCTGGTGTGGCAATATAGGATAAGCACTTAACTGCTAGCCACAAGGTCAGCAGTTCAAACCCACCACTCAATCCTTGGAATCCCTATACAGGGTCGCTATGAGTCGGAACCTACTTGACAGCTTAACAACAAGATGATACAGTGGGCTAATCCACATGACAGGTTATTATACTGGAGAAAGATCTAAACCGAAGTTTTATACCAATAACACGGGTGTTATTATTAAGTATACATGTCAGCAGAATTCTTGTTAACACCAGGTGGTGGTGGTGGTGGTGATGTGCCATGGAGTCGGTTCCGACTCACAGTGATCCAGTACAGGGTTTCCGAGGCTGTGGGTTTTACAAAATCGGTGGTAATGAGCATTGGGAAATATACTACACTCTGGGATACGGAAAGACATGCAAATCTAAGATCAACCTGGACAAGATAGCATTAACCAGGAAGTGAAAAATCCAAGGCAAACCACTCTGACATATATCTGATCCCACACCTCCCTTTAGAACTTGTCACTTTCTGACTTCTCTCGTCAATGTTTTCCTTCGGTCAAGTGGGTGAAACACTTTCCACCTCCCTGTCCCACAAAGAGACTTCTGTAAAGTAAAATATTGGCAGACACATTCGAGTTGCACTTATACGAAGTACAAACTCCTAAAAAGCATGAAGAAACACCGGCTACTGGGAGTAGGGGAAAAGGGAGGGAGCAGGATGAGATTTAAACCAAAATAATTATCGGTGGAGTGGGGCAAGAGAACAACACCCAGTCCCACCCCGGAGCTGGGCACGGGAGTCACAGACGGGGGGTACCCGGCGTCCGCCGCGGAGCCCGAGAAGGCAGAATCCACGGCTGCAGGGCCCGCGGGGGCTGCGGACGCGGGTTGCGGGGGCTGGCAAAGTCTAGGGGCGCAGGGCCGGGGACGGAAGGGGCGGCTACTGGCGAGCAGGGTATGGGGAGTCCATCACAAACCCGTTCTGAGTCCCGGCGGCCGCGGATTCCCGGCCTCTCCCGGTCGTCCGTTTCCGGGGCCCACGGATCTCGCCGCAGTTGGATGACCCGGCCCCGAGGAGGGATGGGGCCTCAACCACCTCCCCCTCCTCGGTCCCCCTTCCCTAGAGGTCACTCTCCCCTCCCACCTCATTGGCCCGGCACTTCCGGTTCCGCAAGGGCCGGTGTCTCCCGTACTCACCCCCGCCGCGGTGCCCAACAGCGCCGCCGTCGTTATCGCCGCCGCCTCCCGGCAGTGCCGTCCGGCCTCTGAGAGGCAGCGCGCGGCCCCCGCACGCTCCACGCCCGCCCTGCTCCTGCGCGCTCCCGTGCGGCGACGCTCGTCTTCGAGCCAGCGCGCGGCCGATGCCCTCAGTACCGGGTCTCGAGCCCTCCCCACGCTCCCATTGGCTCTCTCGTTCGGGCGCGCGCGACGTCTCTCGCCGGGCACGTTTCTCTCATTCATGCGGCTCGCGCCGCCGCGCCCGCCCCAACTCACTCTCCCATTCACCCAAAGCCCCCACCCCCAAGCCGCTCTGGAGCGTGCGCGCGAACCCCGACGACCGCGGCGACCTCGCGCACTGATTGGCTAGAGTAGCACAGCGGCACACGCACGCAAAAAAAAAAAAACGAGAACGCGCGCGCAGGGCCGTCGGGTTCCGCAGACGACGGGGAGTGGGTTGGCATATTGCGCAGGAGCCAGAAGTTGGAAAATGGCCTGACGAGTCTTCTCTTTTCCTGGATTACTGTTTCCTGCTCTTACTGTATCTAGGACAAAATCTAAAGAAATTTTAAAAAATTATGTCTGCGCACTGGAAGTGATCAAAAGTTAAGTAGCTACTCTCTCGAACACACCAAACCACCTCCAAGTCACTGTGGTACCGTCCAGACAGGCGTCTACCGTAGCCAATTAGCAATAGGTCCCGCCCTCTTCCTGCTTCAGTCCTTTACGCATTGGTCAACAGTTTAGCGACTTTTTTTTTTTTTTAATAGCGAAAACTTTATTAAAAACAATTTTGAGGGAGAAGTCTTGGACCCATCAGAATCCCTGTGGGTAATGGAATGGGCTGGGCCGGGCTGTGGCTCCTTACGGAAGGCAAGGCAGGGCTGAAGGAGTTCATGTGGGCGAGTCCCGAGAAGATCGCGAGCCTGAGTTCCCGCGATTTGCGCGGGT